AGATAGTCGGCCTCACCTCCACACACAGCGGACGCTCCACTTTTCTGGTGTTTCTCGCGGGGAGAGGCGGCGAGCTGGGGTGGCCATACTCATTGCCCCCCATCTCAGCCGCCACGTATTGGAGTTCTCCCCGGTGAATGAGAGGGTCGCGTCCCTCCGCCTTCGGGTGGGGGACAAGTCTCTCACTGTTGTGAAGGCCTACGGGCCTAACAGCAGTGCAGAGTACTCGGCCTTCTTGGAGTCCTTTGGAGGGGTACTAGACATTGCACCGCCCGGGGACTCTGTTATTCTCCTGGGGGACTTCAACGCCCGTGTGGGAGATGCCAGTAAGTAAGTAAGTAAGTAAGTAAGTTTTTATTTATATACCGCCTTTTCACTGCAGATCTGAGTCTCAAAGCGGTTTACAATTGTTAATTTTTGGGCATTTGTCTCTCACTCCACACAGAGATGGGAGCGGGGTCGCCTGTACAGGATGCGCATGCCAGAACTATTGGACATATTTTTAGTGGTAGGGGAAACCGGAGTACCCGGAGGAAACCTACGCAGACACCGGGAGAACATGCAAACTCCACTCAGAAAGGCCCTGGTCCGACCGGGATTCGAACCCAGGACCTTCTTGCTGAGAGGCGAGAGTGCTATCCACTCAGCCACCGTGCCGCCAAGCAGTGACACTTGGAGAGGGGTGATTGGGAAGAACGGCCCCCCTGATCTGAACCCGAGCGGTGTTCAGTTGCTGGACTTCTGTCCAGTCACAGTTTGTCCATCACGAACACCATGTTCGAGCACAAGGGTTTCCACCAGTGCACGTGGCACCAGGACACCCTAGGCCGAAGGTTGATGATCGACTTTGTTGTCGTATCATCTGACCTTCGACCGCGTGTCTCGGACACTCGGGTGAAGAGAGGGGCGGAGCTGTCAACCGATCACCACCTGGTCGTGAGTTGGATCCACTGGCAGGGAGGAAGCCGGTCATAACTGGTAGACCCAAGCGTGTAGTGAGGGTCTGCTGGGAACGTCTTGCTGAGCCCCCTGTCAGACGGACTTTCAACTCACACCTCCGGGAGAGCTTCTCCCAGGTCCCGGCGGAGGAGGGGGATATTGAGTCCGAGTGGACCATGTTCTCTTCCTCTATTGCCAATGCGGCAGCTCGTAGCTGTGGTCGCAAGGTCTCTGGTGCTGGTTCCGGCGGCAACCCCCGAACCCGGTGGTGGACACCGGCAGTAAGGGATGCCGTCAGGCTGAAGAAGGAGTCCTATCGAGCCATGAGGGTTCGGGGGACTCCTGAGCCAGCTGTCCAGTACCGGCAGGCCAAGCGTGCCGCGGCCCGGGCTGTTGCAGAGGCAAAAACCCGGGACTGGGAGGAGTTCGGAGAGTCCATGAAGTATGACTATCGGTCGGCCTCGAAGAGATTCTGGCAAACCGTCCGGCGCCTCAGGAGGGGGAAGCAGTTCTTTGCCAACACCGTGTACGGTGCGGGTGGAGAGCTGCTGACCTTGACTGGGGATATTGTCGAGCGGTGGAAGGAATACTTTGAGGTTCTCCTCAATCCCCTGTCACGTCCGCCGTCCCGGAGGCAGAGGCTGAGGATGTTGGGGCAGATACTTCCATCTCCCTGACAGAGGTCACCAAGGTGGTTGGCAGCCTCCTTGGTGGCAAGGCGCCGGGAGTGGATGAGATCCGTCCTGACTATCTAAAGTCTCTGGATGTTGTAGGATTGTCGTGGCTGACACGTCTCTGCAACACCGCGTGGCGATCGGGGGTGGTGCCAATGGAATGGCAGACTGGGGTGGTGGTCCCTCTCTACAAGAAGGGGAACTGGAGGGTGTGTTCCAATTATCGTGGGATCACACTCCTCAGCCTCCCCGGTAAGGTCTACTCCAAGGTACAGGAGAGGGGACTACGACTGATGGTGCAGTGTGGTTTTCGTCCCGGTCGCGGAACACTGGACCAGCTCTATACTCTCCATCGGATACTCGAGAGTTCATGGGAGTTTGCTCAACCTGTCCACATGTGCTTTGTGGATTTGGAGAAGGCGTTCGACCGTGTTCCCCGGGGTAACCTTTGGGGGGTTCTCTGGGAGTACGGGGTCCGGGGTCCTCTGCTGAGGGCCGTCCGGTCCCTGTATGACCAGAGCCAGAGCTGCGTTCGCATTGCCGGTAGTAAGTCAGACCTGTTCCCGGTGCATGTTGGCCTCCGCCAGGGCTGCCCTTTGTCACTGGTTCTGTTCACTGTGTTTATGAACAGAATTTCTAGACGCAGCCAGGGGCCGGAGGGGGTCTGGTTTGGGGACCACAGGATTTCATCTCTGCTGTTTGCGGATGATGTTGTCTTGTTGGCTCCGACGAACCAGGACCTGCAACATGCACTGGGACGGTTTGCAGCCAAGTGTGAAGCGGCTGGGATGAGAATCAGCACCTCCAAATCCGAGGCCATGGCGCTCGACCGGAAAAAGGTGCCATGTCCTCTCCAGGTGGGTGGAGAGGTCCTTCCTCAAGTTCAAATATCTCGGAGTCTTGTTCACGAGTGAGGGAAGGATGGAGCGTGAGATTGACAGGCGGGTCGGTGCAGCGTGCGCAGTGATGTGGTCGCTGTATCGGACCGTTGTGGTAAAGAGGGAGTTGAGCCGAAAGGCAAAGCTCTCAATTTACCGGTTAATCTTTGTTCCCTCCCTCACCTATGGTCTTGAGCTTTGGATAATGACCGAAAGAACGAGATTGCGGATACAAGCGGTCGAAATGAGCTTCCTCCGCAGAGTGGCTGGGCGCTCCCTTAGAGATAGGGTGAGGAGCTCAGTCACACGGGAGGAGCTCGAAGTAGAGCCGCTGCTTCTCCATGTGGAGAGGAACCAGTTAAGGTGGCTCGGGCATCTGTTCCGGATGCCTCCTGGACGCCTCCCTGGGGAGGTGTTCCGGGCACGTCCCACTGGGAGGAGGAATGTTAGTCCCATACGAACCAAGCCGGACAAAAATCTGGAACAATCTACATGAAGATGTGAGACAGGCCTCCTCTCTGACAATGTTTTAAACCAGGTTAAAACCAGTTCTTTTTAGCTGTGCATACAACTGAGGGATTTTATATTTTTATCTTTCTTTTTAATGTACTGTGATTATTTCTGATTTAGTTCAGCACTTTGAGTTGCCTTGTGTATGAATTGTGCTATACAAATAAACTTAAACCCAGAATCAGTTTGTTGTTATCTTTTAGAGACGGAAACAAAAGCAGGTCGACAACAACAGACCCGGTCCTTAACACACAGGATGGAGGTGTTCACGAGTAGAAGGTCCGAAAAAAGATTCCATTGTGAAGAAGGAAGTGTTGAGTGAAACTGCAGCTCAAGTTTGAACGTCTGTGATTTATCTTATCAAATGAATGGAAAAGATAATGGAAAAAAGAAAGATTATAACAATGAGATAAATGAAGGCAGTGAAGAAGTGTGGGAAACCCTGATCTAGGGCTTTACAAGCTCATCTTATGAAGAAAACATGTTATCTATTGCAAAGACCACAATACCAGAGTTTACCACTAACTCTAAGATTCTGCTTAACTTTTATCGCTGCACCATAGAGAGTTTACTTGTTGTCTCTGTGTGGTTTGGTAACATCACAGATAAAGAAAAGAGAGCGTTATACAATGTGCTCCGCTCTGCAAAGAGGACCGTCGGCTGTGAGCTTCCTGTTCTGGAGGTTCTATATAAATCTAGACTTTTAAACAATGTTCCAGCTTCTTCCCTCTGGTAGATGATATCGTTCTGTGAGATGCAGGACATCTCGTTATGCGAACAGCTTTTTTCCACAAGCTGTTATCAGTGTGAACAGAGCACTTTAATGATTTGCACTTGTTTTGAAACTGTTTTAGTCGATTGATTTCACAATGACATTTGTTTACTGTTTTATTTCTGTCTTTTAATATTGTTTTATGTCTGTATTTGTCTGTGCACACTGGTGACTTTTTGCTAATGTATTCCTATGTGGTTTTGTTACTGCAAATGGCAAATAAACTGAACTGAACTGAAAGACCAACTTGTAAGAGCCCTGTGAGAGCCCCTCACGTTGGGCTGAGTGAGGATGGCGAAAACTATAGAGACAGAACTGTTTTAGATTATAGGAGTGATTTAAAAATTAGATTATTCATATATAAGTACAGTTTATACTATATTCTAAAAGATAAATGTTTCTGTTGCAAGTGGCGCTCCATCGCCCTCTGGTGGTCTGTCCAAATAGAACTTTGAGGGCGCTGCTGATCTGGGTTCCATCTGAAGACCTCTTATTATGCAAGTTTTATCTCACTATAATCATCTGATTTTCTATAATAAAATGCTAAAATGTGGGTAAAACAAAAGAATGTACTGTATTTCCTGTAACATTAGTTTCCTCAAAAAGGCAAATACTGTATTTGTAACAGATCAATGAAATGAGGTAACTGCTTCACTTTTTGGGATTTACTAACAAATACTGTATCTGTTACATTCTATTGTAGGTAGAATTCAATTTTTTGATTTTTTTTGTTAATTATTTTTCTTTGATTGCAAGTGATAAGTCAAATACTCCAGATGACATTGTAGCTATAGCAACGAGTTAAATATGTAGAATAAAGACAAAACACTCAGTTCATACAAAATGTAATAAATAAACGTTGAGCAGCATTTTTATGAACACTTTCAGCAACGTTTTGGCAAAAAAAAGACAACATTTTGTAGCAAAGATTGAAAAACCCTTAAACACAATGTGTGTGTGTGTGTACATCATTATTGACATTTAGGACCATTTTAATCAACAGCCTTTCAGACACATTCACACTAATACTCCACACTATAATTTAGACATGAGATCCTTAACCTATACTAAAATGTGTTCAATATTTTAACTGGTAGAATTTAAATAATGTAATTTCTAACCAAACTTATTTTGTAAAATAAAAAATCTAATAATTGGAAAAATAGTTTTGAAATGTATCCTCATTCATGACAGATTAAAACGGTGCGGTTGCCGTGGTTGCCGGTGCTATTCCAGACCGAGGGTGAAGTTGATGCCGTGGACCACACCGATAATGATAGGTTGCCAGGCGACGAGGTACCGGAGCCAGTCCAGGAGCTGACCGTATAAAACGTGAGTCTTCTCCCACCTGAGGGCGAGCTGAGCAAAACACCCACAAAATGAAAACTGGACTCAATATACTCAAAACCAGATTAGAACCTATTACACCCAGGGACAGATTCAAACCATATGATTAGCCTCTTAGCATAACTGCCAAACCGACGTTCAGACATTTTGAGAAAGGGAACTTTTTAGTAGTTACACATCATTGGAAACTGTCACCGTGGTTACATGACAGATCTGCATGTGACTTAGGGCTAATATTGACATGCAATTGTGCCTCTGGGGATCTGCTCAGTCAATATGATGAACTTTGTATTTTGCAACAAGTTTGTTTTGGTGGAATTGTTGTTTTCAGCTTGGAACAAGGATTGTGATCGGTTAATTACATTACTGCAGGATGTGCAAATGCTGATTATGGACTGTTTTCTTAAAAGTGAATCTGGAATGTAACCCTTGTTTGTTTGAGAGAAGAAGCAAAAACATGTAGACCCTAATTTGGCCGTAGCAACTTCATCACAGCTGTTTATAGCTATTCTAGTAAATCATATTTATTTATATAGGGAATTTTACAGACCAAGGTCACCCAAAGCACTTTACAATGTTCAGAGTTCAGATATTGTTCCAATCCTTCCACACACGGTGATGACAGAAGCGAGTCCAGAACACACTGGACCATCAAAGCCCCGATCAACACCATCCATCACTCTCTCATTTACATTCATACCTAGTGTGCATGTTTTTAGTGGTAGGGGAAAACCAGAGCACCCGGAGGAAACCTACGCAGACATGGGGAGAACATGCAAACTCCACTCAGAAAAGCCCTGTTCTGACCGGCATTCGAACCCAGGACCGTCCTATTCTGACGTGGGCCATAACACCCACGGTTATTATGGACCAAAACCAGGTCTAAACCAGGACCAATTCTGGGTCTTACTGAAGTAGATATAATATGATGACAACTTCAAGTAAATAAACCTGGACTTCTTTTCACGCAATAATGTTGTTGTGGATCTTACCAGTTCTTTACTCTAAAAAGTTTGCTTCTGCCACTAGAGTGTTTTTGGACTCGATCTTTACAACAGCTTTTCCAGGTAGAAAAGTTAGAAAGAGAGAACCATCCTCACTCAGATGAACAAAGTAAGAAACCAGAACCAGGGCCTGAGACACGTTAAGCATTATTCAAGGATACGGGTTTTTCATCATCATCTGCAGATCCACTTTCTCGTTGCAGTAAGGGCACGTCTGCTTCTTACCCACAATGCACCAGCCTCGGATGCAAAACTCGTGGAATCTGCAGTCGAAGGTTAAAGATAAAAACACACTCCTCACATTCCCCAAAACAGTCATAATATTTGCTCTTTGCGGCTTCGACGAGGGAGCGGAAGTGTCTCGACCAGCCCCTAGCCCAGACCAGCCAGCCCAGCCCGGCCCGGCCCTGTCACTGCGCAGGGTTCCAGCACAGCCTGTCTCACTGCTCACATTGTTGCCCAGCTGCTGCAAACTTTGTCAAGCGTCTGGCACATGGCGAGAGTTGTTCATGTGGCAGGTGTCGCTGGTGACTCTCAGAACCCCCTCCGGAGCTGCTGATTGGCCGGCAGATGGATGGACGCAGGTTAAAAGAAGAGGCAAAGCGTGCCTTAAGAAGCAAAACAACACGACGCGATTAGAGTGGTCCGACGACTTGTTCAAGATCCACCCGTCCACAATGCAGACTCTTTGCGTCATTGTGGAAATGTCTGGATGAGTGGCCACTTCAGCTGAAAAGTGTGATTTATTTTACTTTTCTGTGAATGGTTTCATTCAAACGCCACGGTATTGCTTTGCGTGTCCATTAAATCTAAACTTCGAGAATATAGCTTTACATTTATGACAGCACAAGTTTGCATGATGTGTCGGATATGAAAGTCAGATGGAGCTTTGTTCGAGCCAAAAAACGATAAGTATCTTTTTTTTTATGCAAAGATATGTGGGTTGTGTGTTATTGGCCATAATTGCATGTGAAAAGCAGACCCCGTCAGTCTCTGAAGCTGTGCAGGGCAGGGCGTGGTTATGCTGTGATGGGAGACCTAGGGTACAGCAGGTGCCAAAGTCTTAATCTGAGGCAAAGACACTTTCCCCCCACATTAGAATGAGTCTGGTGTGTGTGTGAATGCGTTGGTGTGGGTGGTGGGGCTGATGGCACATACCTGGTGCTCGCTTCTGTCAGTGTGCCCCAGAGGCAGCTGCGGCTACGTTGTAGTTCACCACCCTGTTTGGAGTGAATGATTCATGACGATGTGAAGCGTCTTGAGTGTCCAAAAAAAGCACTCTTAAAAACCAATACATTATTTTATTATGAATATTATTGAGATGTCTATAGTATAATGTCTAAACCAAAAAAACATGTGCTTTCTCTGGTTTTTCACATGTTTAAAATTTTACAAATATATTTGTTTTTTCCCCTGGTTATGCACTAATTGTATTGTTTGAGTGGTGGTTTGCTCAAGCGTCTCAGAAAGAAGGTTGTGGGTTCGATCCTCCCGTCGCCTGAGGCTTTCGTTGTGAGAGTTTGCTGGCTTTTCCTTGGTGTTGAGTGGGTTTCCTCCAAAGTGCTCGGGTTCCCCAACCCCTAAACATGCACTTGGGTTAAAATCACTCCAGCTCGCGATAGATAATCACCAAGATGGAATTTGTCCTCACCTAGATAAGGTCATTGGGTTAGATTCACCTCAGACCTTTCTGTGTGGATTTTGCATGCTCTCCGTGTCTGCGTAGGTTTTTCTCCCGGTGCTCCGGGTTACGAATACCACTAAAAAACTGTACATAGACAAAACGGTAACAAGGGGTCCACATGTGTGGAGAAGAATGAAGAAAATCTGAGCAAATTTTAAGACCATCATAACTAGACAGTTTTTTTTATGTCTTTTAACCAATTGTGACAAACAAGCTAAAGTAAAGTAATACATTATAGTATAATGGTAGAATAGAAAACAAACATGAATAGAAGTGGCCTGGGTTAGCTTTAGTTCCACAGATACAGATAGAGAGAGAAAATGATAACTCACTCACTTACTTGCTTTCAACAATCATAATTTGTGAAATACATTTTTGTGTTTTCATAAACTTTGCGGCGGAACGTCTTGGGCATGAGTTTAGAACGTGAGTTTAGTTTCCGGCAGATAAATGTTGTTTCTCTCGTGACCACTCTCCGGTCGTGTCTGTGCCTTGCTCACGATCGTATGATGGGCTCCGACGCTGTGTGACTGTTGTGTTTTTTGGCTTGTGCTTTTGTTTTTGCCAGCACCTCATCCGTCTGAATCATCCGGGGCCGAGTTTAGACGGCCACTTATTCATTCACTCACGTCACCGGTCGTAAGTAACTCCCGCTGACCTGTTTGTGAGTTCAGTCTGCATCTTTAGTCCAGATCTCGTCCAGGATATTGCCTCGAGTACAGACAGAGACACTGATGTAGGGTGGATTTTGTATTGCTGTTGCAGCCAATATGTGAATAGATTAAGATTAAGATTGAGATCCTTTTCTCTTTGCCAAGAGTAGAGGGGGGGGGGGGGGGGGGGGGGGGGGGGGGGGGGAAAACAAAAAAAACTACCATCAACACGACGGGAAAAGAATTAAACAAAACTTAAAGTCAATTTTACTTTTTACTTAAGATTAAGAGTTCTTTTATTCGTTCCACAGTGGGAAATTTTCAGTGTTGCATAACAAGTTATAGAACGTAGGAAAGAGGAGCACACAGTACAATTTAAGTGAACAATAGCTGTACTAATTACAACGCATCAATAATATGTATAAAATCTCTATCTTGAAAATAATATATGTTAAAATAAATGTGTGGTGTCTCTCTCTCTCTGTCTGTGTCTCAATCTGTTTCTATGGTCTCTCTGTTTCTCTCTGTCTATTCTGTCTCTCCTCTGTCTCTTTCTCTCTCTCTCTTCTCTCTCTCTCTTAGGGCGGCCGGTGGGTCTGAGTGGATCGCACTCTTGCCTCTCAGCAACGAAGGGTCCTGGGTTCGAATCCGGTCGGAAAAGGCCTTTCTGGTGTCGGAGTTTGCAATGTTCTCCGTGGTCTGCGTAGGTTTCCTCGGGTACTCCGATTTCCCATACCACTTAAAAATATGTACAATAGATCTGGCATGCGCCTCCTGTAATGGTCCCGCTCCATCTCTGTGTGGAGTGAGGAGGTCAACCGCTTTGTGATCGGTCTGTGAAAGGGCTATATAAATAAAGATTACTCTACTGTACTTTTTCTGTCTGTTCTATCTCTGTCTCTCTCTGTCTCTCTCTCCCTGTCTGTCTCTCTCTCTCTCTCTGTGTGGTCTGTCTCTCTCTCTCTCTCTGCTCTCTTTCTGTCGGTCTCTCTCTCTCTCTCTTTCTGTCTGTCTCTCTGTGTTCTCTTTCCTCTCTGTGTGTCTCTCTCATGTGATCATTATAATACCTCATTGTGAATGTATAAAAATATTTAGATTGTATCTGAGTCTATAGGGGGAAGATGTCCATATACTGTATGTATTTTACAGTCCATAATGTCCATAGGGACCATCCTCCATCAGCAAGGAACAGACGGGCTGTAGATCCAGGACCAATTTGTATTTAAGAAATCACCAAAAACACAATCCGGGACGATACAGAAAAACACAGCAGCGACCTAAACACCCTTTACTTTTTTTATGTATTAGGTCGGACCCACTGAGTATAATATAAAGTTTGTACATATGGCAGTGTTAAGCATGTTGATAAATGTTTGCTTTCACGTTGGTTACTCCGCTGTGGAGCAGAGCAACGAGGAATGACGTTGGCGTGGTCGTGGCTCGGGCTCGTCTCTGTGTGAGATTCATTTAGGAGCAGGAGGTTGGGGTTGATTGCTGATAGACTTTGCCTCAGATCTTATTCTGAGAAGGGACTTGTCTCTGCAGTGGTTCTTCTCTTCCGTCGTGTCAGTGCTGGGTTGCGCATTTAATTAAAATGTATGTATATTATGAAATTTGAGTTAGATTTTAGGATGATCTATTAATCAAAGCTTCATCAGACGACTGCTTTGTCCCTGCGGTAATGTGTGTTGTGTATTGATATTAACGGAGCCACAAATGGGTTTTAGAAGAGCCAATTCTTTTGAGGGGGGGGGGGGGGTCTGAACTTGCGTGGGTCGGGGCCCAAGAATTGAAAATTAAGTTGCTGGTCAAGTATTTTCTATAAATATATATAGGACAAGGTATTTTGCAATATTTAAAACAACTTTATTATGTTTGTATTTTCCTTTTCTGGTAAATTTTACATATACATATCTGAATAATACAGAGATTGAAGAGGAAATTGTTTAGCAAATGTCATTGCTGCAAAGATGTGGATGGCTTACTCTCCTCAGGCTTCGTTAGGGGCAACGGAGATGGCGAAAGCTAATATAATGATAAAAGCTAGGCTAATTGCTAACTACCTAAAACTCCAATCGTTCAATCTGCAACGAGCAAATCCAGACTTAAGTACGAAATGAGTATGATGGTTTGGTAAGACCAGACGAGGATTGAACCGAAATGGCAAGGAAACGATACATATTCATGGGACATTTGATATGGCAGTTTGACATGCCTGCTTTAGAGAGTCGTTTCTTATGTGTCGTTAGGGTAGTGGTTCTTCTGGCAACCCCTTTCTGCTCTCTGTTAGCTCCCACTGTTAGCTCCAATTATTAGTTCCGCTGTTAGTCGGCGTTCTCTAATACCGTTCTCACAGACATTCTTCTTTACTCTGCCTAAAGTTAGAGCTATTTACTTGCTTCTTTACTATGCAAAAGTTAAAGCTATGGGATCTACAGTATGACGAACCCTTTCGCGTTTTAGTTTTAACGGCACTTGACTTCCGGTGCGCGGGGGATCGTCTATGTGTTTCCCTGAAGTTCAGCAGGTTTACACGAGTTTCCTAATAATGCTCAAAAACAGGAATTATTCTGTTTTGATATGGGCATTTTTGGACACAGCAGTGCTCTTTGATTGCTGCTGTCATTGTGATTTTATAAAGTTAACTAATCTCTCTAAGGGCCACAGTCAAAGCTTTTCCCAGAGAGAAGCACTTCGACACTTTTGGGTCAGTCTCAGCTGAATGGTATCAAATCTAATTACTAAAAAACGTCACTTCAACTCACAACATGTCGTAGCGCTAGCACTGGACAGGAAGTAACCGAGCTGTTCTTTGTTTAAAAGGAAATGATGTTCATGCTCCCTGTGCATATAGCTCAATATACTATGCTAAAGTTACAGATTCCTTATCTCTGTTAGCTGGCCTCTACACAACACCGTTCTCAGTCTCTCAGTTGCTTTTTTTTTTTGAGAAGGCGGACTTGTCTCAGCAGCTGCGTCCTCTCTCCGTCTTCGTCATTGATGGTTGGGAATTAATGACAATGTTTGTAATTATGAATTGTGTCTAGACCTTTGCCTGCTGTGCCCTGGGCGTGTTGGAGTGATGTGTGATGTGTAGGACAGTTGTAACGCAGGATGTGTTTATGGATTCATGAAAGCCAGGACCGAGCTGCTGTGTTTGGTCTGGTGGATAGCACTCTTGACTCACGCCACAGCGTGGGTCCTGAGTATTAGGACCACGTTGTAGATCTCGTCTCAACTCAAAAGCACAGATTGCAGCTGACATAGTAGGCAGACAAACGGCGGTGTGGAGAGAGAGCGTCAAAAGAAGTGGGAAAGGAGCAGAATAACAGACGGGACACAAACTAAATACAGAAGCTCTGAAAGTTTTAATACAGCCTTTTGTCATGGTTCTACAACCATTAACATACAGATTTTATTTAGGATCTTTTTTAGCAGATGTTCACACACAAGTAGATAGAGTGCCTGCCGAAGTATTCGGCCCCTGAACCTTTTCAACATTTCGCCACCATTTCAGGCTTCAAACCTAAATTTTATATCTTTAGTTTTTGAAGCCTGAAAGTGTGGCGAAATGTTGAAAGGTTCAGGGGGGCGATATACTTTCGCAAGGCCTCTATCTACTTGTGTTGTGTACTTCTGCTAATAAAATCTAAATAAAATCTGTTGTTAATGGTTGTAAACATGAAAAAAAGCTGTATTAAAACATTCGTGGAGAGCTGTCTGGTATTTGTTTGTGTCCCGTCACGTTATTTGCTCCTTTCCACTTCTTTTGACGCTCTCTCTCCACACGCAGCCGTTGTCTGCCTACGATGTCAGCATGCAATCTGTGCTTGAGTTTGAGACGAGGATCTAAAAACGTGGTCCTAATTACACAGGACCCAGCTGTGGGTGAGTCAAGCGTGCTATCCACAGACAATCACAGCAGCTCGGTCTGGCTTTATGAATCATAACCACATCCTGCGTTACAACTGTCATTAACATCACACACTCACCAGGGCCACAGGCAGGCAAAGGTCTAGCCTACATTTACATGAAATACAAACATTTTATTTAATCCCAACAATCAATGACAAGACGGAGAGAAGGACCACTGCCAGAGACAAGTCGCCTTCTCAAAAAAAAAAAAGCATCTGAGAGACTGAGAACTAGGTGTTGTGTAAGAGGCCGAGCTAACAGAGAGCAAGGAATCTGTAACTTTAGCATAGTATATTGAGCAATATGCACAGGGCAGTGTATGACATATTTCCTTGTAACAAAGAACAGCTCGTTTATTTCCTGTCTGTTGCTACGCTACGACTTTGTGGTGAGTTGAAGTGACGTTTGTTAGATAATTAGATTGATACATTCAGCTGAGACTGACCAAAAGTGTCGATGTGTTTCTATCTGAGAAAAGCTTGGACTGTGGCCACTTAGAGAGGATTAGTTAACTTTATAAAATCCAATGACAGCACAATCAAAGAGCACTGCTGTGTACCCAAAAATGCCAGTCAGGTATCAAAACAGTATAATTCCTGTTTGAGCACATTATTTTAGGAAAACTCGTGATAATCATGCTGAACTTCAGGGAAAAAATCAAGCGATCCCCGCCGCACCGGAAGGTCAGAGTGTTTACCGTTTAAATCTAAAACGCTGAAAAGTGGTATCGTGCATACTGTAGATCCATAGCTTTAACTTTTTGCTTATAAAGAAGCAAGTATAATAGCTCTAAATTTAGCAGTAGTAAAGAAGATGTCTGTGAGAACGGTATTAGAGACGCCGAACTATCAGCGGAACTAATATTTTGAGCTAACAGTGGAGCTAACAGAGAGGCAGAAGAGGGGGTTGCCAGAAGAACCACTACCCTAACGACCACATAAGGAAAAACACTCTCTTAAGCCTAGGAATGTCAACCTGCCATATCAAATAGTCCCATGATTATGTATCGTTTCCTTGGCCAGTTTCGGTTCAACATCGCCTGGGTTTACCAAACCCATCATACTCATTTCTTACTTAAGTCTGGATTTGCTCGTTGAAGATTGAAACGATTGG